GTCGGAAGAGGGTCATCTTCCCCCCTTGCATATAAGCCTTGGCTTCATATGGAGGAGGTAAGTGGGTACCTTCTCCATATGAAGCCAAGACTTATATGCAAGGGGGGAGACGACCCTCTTTCGATGTGGGACAACTTCCTGTGGGCGAAGAGGGGTAAATGCTATTGATGAATAACCCTCAAGAGGGGCGAAGTCAGGTCAGTCAAAATCCTTCCGTGGGGGGAGGACATCTCGAACGCACAGATAAATCCCCTACACCCTCCTATATTTCAGAGATAGATAGATAGAGGGCAGAGAAGGAAGAAGTGGAAGAGCCGGAGGTGTTGTTTTTTCGAACTTCCCATGAAAAAACACCCACTGTCAATTCAATTTAATAGTAAAAAATAATTAGATCGATAAATTAAGTTAAAATAATATTATTTTAAATGCAATTCTAATTTGTTTTTTTCAGCCTAATGGTTGAATTTAGTGACAGAATTAGAGATTAAATGCAAAGTCACACTTCTGTTGAGCACAAAAAAGTTAGGAAAATGCGTGGTTTGCCTGGAATGAAGGAATGATAATAATAAAAAAGGAAAATTACACTCCATGTTCCAGGAGGTTTGTCACTTAAATATCTAGGCCATCTGATATTTAAAATATTTTACACAAATCTCTTAAATTTGTACGAATATAACATATAGTTTATTGTCATTAATGTCTGTTAGTATATTTCCTAGTAAATTACATCCAAATCTCTAAAATTGGAAATGTATAATATTTAAACTAATCAAATTTAAAATATTACACTTAGACAAAAAATATTCTAATTAAAGATAAAATATCAAATATTAGTCATTACCTGTGCCTAAAGGCACTCTTAACACAAAAAATTTGCCAAGTAAATGAGGCATTCAATAATGTCTTAAATAAAAGAAGTGCAAGAGTTTAAATGAAGAAAAATCATATCATATTAACACAATCTAAAAATACTCATGAAGTTAAATTAACATCATTATAAAATTATCCTGCCATATATTTTTTCATGGTGACTCTTCTTTTCAATGAGTGTTTATTTTTTCAACCTCTGGTTAAATTTAATAAATATGTTGTCTAATTCGTATTGAATTACAAATCAAATTTTTTAAAAATAGAAATTTTTTTTTAACTAAACTGGATCTACTTGTAATTGCGAGGACAATTGATTTAAATATTTTACTACTGTGACTTCTCGGATACTACAAAAATATTTTCACGCTGCAATTAAACCAAATCAATAAAATCAAAATTTCACCACTTTAAAAAAAATTGATATAATTGATCTTTTTGTCATTTTGGTTTCTATTTTGTACAATTCAAGTATTCAAAAAAATATGGGCAAATTTTACTTTACCTTCCTGTGGTTAAGTCGTTTTTCACATTACCTCCCTCAAATTTAAAAATAGACACATAACCCCTTGTGGTTTGTGGACTAAAATGTAATGTTAACAAAAATAATAAAATGACCCTAATATCCTTCAATCTGTTTCTTCAAGAATAGACCCAACCCGTTCTTCTCCATCCCCTTCTTCCATAGTGAAAATTTGAATTATCTACAAATCTAAATTTCAAAGACTTAAAATTGAAAATGAAACAAAAAACCAAAGCACAAACTGAATTCAATGCATAATTGGCAATAAAAATTAATTCAGATATCAAACAAAGTATGAAAAGGCTTGATGGCACCTGAAAAAACAAAGAATAAGAGAGGAAAAACTGAGTTACTTTTTGATCTTAAAACTGAGAGTTGCTGGAGGAGAAAACCGCTGAAGCCGAAGCTTCATTCGTTGATTTACGAGCTGATTTTTGTGTCATTCTTGCTGAAAATCAGATAAGTTTCTCCTTTATTTTTAGTTTTTATTGTACTCAACTTTTGATGAAATATATAGGTGTTTTGGAGTGAAATTATGTAGCATATGCAAAATATTTTTTCTATGTTTATGCTTGATTTGTGTTGCAATTTATGAGATACCCTATAACAAAAAATTTAGCCACTGTTTTTTATTTGCTTTGGGTCTGTTTCTTGTGTTTTTTTGGTGACCTAATTAGTTTCTCCATACCCATAAGTGAGAATGGAGGGGATGCCGAATCTACTAATTCTTGTCGATTCCACTAGCTCTTGCCGAATTTACTGGTTCTTGCCTTGGTGTTTTTGGGTTTGAAGTGGTTTGTATTTTATTGAAGAGTTGTGGCTGATAGTAGCTGTTGGGATGGAGGGGTTGCCGATGTAGTGGTGGATGGGGCTTTTGGATCATCATCGACAATGAAAAATGGAGAAAGATGAGAGAAAATAGGAAGGTAAAGTGAAGGGTAATACGCGTGACATTCTCAAATGGTTAATTTGGAAGGAAAGTGTAACAGTGTACTTTTAGTCCACAGACCGCATGGGGGTTATGTGTCTATTTTTAAATTTGAGGGAGGTAATGTGAAAAACGACTTAACCATGTGGAAGTAAATTAAAGTTTGTCCAAAAAATATGAATATTAGTAGGGAAAAGCAATGCAAATAAAAAAAAAAATTTAGTAGTTGATTTTTGTACAATTGGTTTCGTTTATTTTCTTTTTTGGTCGTTGTTATTGGTTTATGGAGGAGGAATGTCTATAGCTTTATAAGCTNATTAGATCGATAAATTAAGTTAAAATAATATTATTTTAAATGCAATTCTAATTTGTTTTTTTCAGCCTAATGGTTGAATTTAGTGACAGAATTAGAGATTAAATGCAAAGTCACACTTCTGTTGAGCACAAAAAAGTTAGGAAAATGCGTGGTTTGCCTAGAATGAAGGAATGATAATAACAAAAAAGGAAAATTACACTCCATGTTCTCGGAGGTTTGTCACTTAAATATCTAGGTCATCTGATATTTAAAATATCTTACACAAATCTCTTAAATTTGTACGCATATAACATATAGTTCATTGTCATTAATGTCTGTTAGTATATTTCCTAGTAAATTACATCCAAATCTCTAAAATTGGAAATGTATAATATTTAAACTAATTAAATTTAAAATATTACACTTAGACAAAAAATATTCTAATTAAAGATAAAATATCAAATATTAGTCATTACCTGTGCCTAAAGGCACTCTTAACACAAAAAATTTGCCAAGTAAATGAGGCATTCAATAATGTCTTAAATAAAAGAAGTGCAAGAGTTTAAATGAAGAAAAATCATATCATATTAACACAATCTGAAAATACTCATGAAGTTAAATTAACATCATTATAAAATTATCCTGCCATATATTTTTTCATGGTGACTCTTCTTTTCAATGAGTGTTTATTTTTTCAACCTCTGGTTAAATTTAATAAATAGGTTGTCTAATTCGTATTGAATTACAAATCAAATTTTTTAAAAATAGAAAAAAAAAATTAACTAAACTGGATCTACTTGTAATTGCGAGGACAATTGATTTAAATATTTTACTACTGTGACTTCTCGGATACTACAAAAATATTTTCACGCTGCAATTAAACCAAATCAATAAAATCAAAATTTCACCACTTTAAAAAAAATTGATATAATTGATCTTTTTGTCGTTTTGGTATTTATTTTGCACTATTCAAGTATTCAAAAAAATATGGGCAAATTTCATTTTACCTTCCTGTGGTTAAGTCGTTTTTTACATTACCTCCCTCAAATTTAAAAATAGACACATAACCCCTTGTGGTTTGTGGACTAAAATATAATGTTAACAAAAATAATAAAAGGACTCTAATATTCTTCAATCTGTTTCTTCAAGAATAGACCCAACCCGTTCTTCTCCATCCCCTTCTTCCATAGTGAAAATCTGAATTATCTACAAATCTAAATTTCAAAGACTTAAAATTGAAAATGAAACAAAAAACCAAAGCACAAACTGAATTCAATGCATAATTAGCAATAAAAATTAATTCAGATATCAAACAAAGTATGAAAAGGCTTGATGGCACCTGAAAAAACAAAGAATAAGAGAGGAAGAACTGAGTTGCTTTTTGATCTTAAAACTGAGAGTTGCTGGAGGAGAAAACCGCTGAAGTCGAAGCTTTATTCGTTGATTTACGAGCTGATTTTTGTGTCATTCTTGCTGAAAATCAGATAAGTTTCTCCTTTATTTTTAGTTTTTATTGTACTCAACTTTTGATGAAATATATAGGTGTTTTGGAGTGAAATTATGTAGCATATGCAAAATATTTGTTCTATGTTTATGCTTGATTTATGTTGCAATTTATGAGATACCCTATAACAAAAAATTTAGCCACTGTTTTTTATTTGCTTTGGGTCTGTTTCTTGTGTTTTTTTGGTGACCTAATTAGTTTCTCCATACCCATAAGTGAGAATGGAGGGGATGCCGAATCCACTAATTCTTGTCGATTCCACTAGCTCTTGCCGAATTTACTGGTTCTTGCCTTGGTGTTTTTGGGTTTGAAATGATTTGTACTTTATTGAAGAGTTGTGGCTAATAGTAGCTGTTAGGATGGAGGGGTTGCCGATGTAGTGGTGGATGGGACTTTTGGATCATCATCGGCAATGAAAAATAGAGAAAGATGAGAGAAAATAGGAAGGTAAAGTAAAAGGTAATACGCGCGACATTCTCAAATGGTTAATTTGGATGAAAAGTGTAACAGTGTACTTTTAGTCCACAGACCGCATGGGGGTTATGTGTCTATTTTTAAATTTGAGGAAGGTAATGTGAAAAACGACTTAACCACGTAGAAGTAAATTAAAGTTTGTCCAAAAAATATGAATATTAGTAGGGAAAAACAATGCAAATAAAAAAAAAAAAATTTAGTAGTTGATTTTTGTACAATTGATTTCGTTTATTTTCTTTTTTGGTCGTTGTTATTGGTTTATGGAGGAGGAATGTCTATAGCTTTATAAGCTTGAGCACCAATAATCGGAGAGAGAGGGAGGGATAGAGAGAACATTCCCACTCCAACACCGCATTGGCGAGAAGCGAGAGAGTGCGTGTGTGTGTCTGTGTGTGTGAGAGAAAGAGAGATGGCGGAAAGGGGAAGGTACTTCTACAGGGAAGTGCTTCCATTTGTAACGATGGTGATGTTGCAGTGCGCGATTCAAAGCGGCCACGAACGAAGGAATGAGCTATCGCGTCTTCATCGTCTACTCTTATGCTCTCTCCGGCATTTTTCTCCTTCCTTTCTCCCTCTTCGTCGACAGGTCTGTCACTTACCCCCACCCATCTTCCTCTCATGCACAGAAGTTTAATTATCAGAACAAATTTCCATTATTAACACCTGTCTCTGTTGAATCGATCTTTGCAGAAGGAAAGAACTTCCTCCATTCGACATGGGCCTTATCGGTAGAATCTGGGTCCTTGGGTTTCTTGGGTAATGAAATATCTAACATTTGATTTTTATAGTTGAGTTTGCTCAGTGTATTATGAACAAGAAATTAATTTATATTTTATGAGATGGGTCTTGTTCATGTGTGTGGTTTCTACTTTCTTCGCATATTTTGTGGGTTTGGCAGATTTGCAGCTCAGATGTTGGCGTATCAGGGCATAGAGTACAGTTCTCCAACTCTTACTTCCGCCATTAGCAATCTCACTCCAGCGTTTACCTTCGCACTCGCCATCGCTTTCAGGTTCTTCTTGTTTCCCAGTAATTACAGTCAAGGAAAAATAGTCTTGAATTCCCTGAACTGTGTTCCTCATTCTTTCTTTCTTTGTTTTTTTTTTTTTTTTGTTTTATGGTGAGGATTGTCCGGCTGCACGTTTCAACTAATCTCTTCTCTGATTCGCTCGGTCCGATCAAAGGTAGACCATTCACGCCGAGTTTATAATATTTATTAAGAATATTCTTATGACCAAACTCTAAAAAATTATCAAAATTCAAACTCACNATGCAAAGTCACACTTCTGTTGAGCACAAAAAAGTTAGGAAAATGCGTGGTTTGCCTGGAATGAAGGAATGATAATAATAAAAAAGGAAAATTACACTCCATGTTCCAGGAGGTTTGTCACTTAAATATCTAGGCCATCTGATATTTAAAATATTTTACACAAATCTCTTAAATTTGTACGAATATAACATATAGTTTATTGTCATTAATGTCTGTTAGTATATTTCCTAGTAAATTACATCCAAATCTCTAAAATTGGAAATGTATAATATTTAAACTAATCAAATTTAAAATATTACACTTAGACAAAAAATATTCTAATTAAAGATAAAATATCAAATATTAGTCATTACCTGTGCCTAAAGGCACTCTTAACACAAAAAATTTGCCAAGTAAATGAGGCATTCAATAATGTCTTAAATAAAAGAAGTGCAAGAGTTTAAATGAAGAAAAATCATATCATATTAACACAATCTAAAAATACTCATGAAGTTAAATTAACATCATTATAAAATTATCCTGCCATATATTTTTTCATGGTGACTCTTCTTTTCAATGAGTGTTTATTTTTTCAACCTCTGGTTAAATTTAATAAATATGTTGTCTAATTCGTATTGAATTACAAATCAAATTTTTTAAAAATAGAAATTTTTTTTTAACTAAACTANTTAGTCATTACCTGTGCCTAAAGGCACTCTTAACACAAAAAATTTGCCAAGTAAATGGGGCATTCAATAATGTCTTAAATAAAAGAAGAGAGTTTAAATGAAGAAAAATCATATCATATTAACACAATCTGAAAATACTCATGAAGCNCAATTTGAAACAAGGGTATAGTACGGGAGGTCTAAATGTAATTTGATCTTAAAATTGAGACCCACTATTTTTAATATAAACGGAAACATGGAGTTAGCACATGGAAGGTTATGGTACTTTGGTTAGAGGGATGCAAANCACGCTGCAATTAAACCAAATCAATAAAATCAAAATTTCACCACTTTAAAAAAAATTGATATAATTGATCTTTTTGTCATTTTGGTTTCTATTTTGTACAATTCAAGTATTCAAAAAAATATGGGCAAATTTTACTTTACCTTCCTGNGACTCTTCTTTTCAATGAGTGTTTATTTTTTCAACCTCTGGTTAAATTTAATAAATAGGTTGTCTAATTCGTATTGAATTACAAATCAAATTTTTTAAAAATAGAAAAAAAAAATTAACTAAACTGNTTCATATACTACAAGTTGTCCTTTGGTCCACAATTATTATATAATAATAATAAATAGATGTTTAATCAAAGTGGTGGACCCACCATTATTTTGGGTAAGTGATCCCACCATTATCTTGCTTACCATAACATGTCATGTTTTAACAGTGGAGTTTTGAAAAGCATTAATGTTATGTTGATCAAATTTTGACATTAAATTTAGAATTTAAATGATATGATAGCATATTATTTAGAATTTTTATTGAGATCCAAATGACATGATACCAAATAAAAAAACTCAAGTCAGTTGTCATATCATTTGAATATTAAATATAATCCCAAAATTTAATCAGTNCAATAAAATCAAAATTTCACCACTTTAAAAAAAATTGATATAATTGATCTTTTTGTCGTTTTGGTATTTATTTTGCACTATTCAAGTATTCAAAAAAATATGGGCAAATTTCATTTTACCTTCCTGTGGTTAAGTCGTTTTTTACATTACCTCCCTCAAATTTAAAAATAGACACATAACCCCTTGTGGTTTGTGGACTAAAATATAATGTTAACAAAAATAATAAAAGGACTCTAATATTCTTCAATCTGTTTCTTCAAGAATAGACCCAACCCGTTCTTCTCCATCCCCTTCTTCCATAGTGAAAATCTGAATTATCTACAAATCTAAATTTCAAAGACTTAAAATTGAAAATGAAACAAAAAACCAAAGCACAAACTGAATTCAATGCATAATTAGCAATAAAAATTAATTCAGATATCAAACAAAGTATGAAAAGGCTTGATGGCACCTGAAAAAACAAAGAATAAGAGAGGAAGAACTGAGTTGCTTTTTGATCTTAAAACTGAGAGTTGCTGGAGGAGAAAACCGCTGAAGTCGAAGCTTTATTCGTTGATTTACGAGCTGATTTTTGTGTCATTCTTGCTGAAAATCAGATAAGTTTCTCCTTTATTTTTAGTTTTTATTGTACTCAACTTTTGATGAAATATATAGGTGTTTTGGAGTGAAATTATGTAGCATATGCAAAATATTTGTTCTATGTTTATGCTTGATTTATGTTGCAATTTATGAGATACCCTATAACAAAAAATTTAGCCACTGTTTTTTATTTGCTTTGGGTCTGTTTCTTGTGTTTTTTTGGTGACCTAATTAGTTTCTCCATACCCATAAGTGAGAATGGAGGGGATGCCGAATCCACTAATTCTTGTCGATTCCACTAGCTCTTGCCGAATTTACTGGTTCTTGCCTTGGTGTTTTTGGGTTTGAAATGATTTGTACTTTATTGAAGAGTTGTGGCTAATAGTAGCTGTTAGGATGGAGGGGTTGCCGATGTAGTGGTGGATGGGACTTTTGGATCATCATCGGCAATGAAAAATAGAGAAAGATGAGAGAAAATAGGAAGGTAAAGTAAAAGGTAATACGCGCGACATTCTCAAATGGTTAATTTGGATGAAAAGTGTAACAGTGTACTTTTAGTCCACAGACCGCATGGGGGTTATGTGTCTATTTTTAAATTTGAGGAAGGTAATGTGAAAAACGACTTAACCACGTAGAAGTAAATTAAAGTTTGTCCAAAAAATATGAATATTAGTAGGGAAAAACAATGCAAATAAAAAAAAAAAAATTTAGTAGTTGATTTTTGTACAATTGATTTCGTTTATTTTCTTTTTTGGTCGTTGTTATTGGTTTATGGAGGAGGAATGTCTATAGCTTTATAAGCANTTGATCGAACAAGGGGATAATGTACCTTTTTTTTGTTAATTTCTTAAAAAAAATAAAGGTTTTTTTGAGAACTCACACATGGGACTGTCTATCTGTAACTATGCCCGCATTTGATTTGTCTTTCTTTTTGTTTTGGGGGGGTTAAAATGATGTGTTCATTTATGATAATTTGGTTATTTCTTACTTTTTTGGATCTTTTGTTCAAAACCAGAATGGAAAAACTAGCATTGAGAAGCTTAAGCAGCCAGGCTAAAATTGTGGGTGCCATCGTATCTATAGCAGGAGCACTTGTGGTGGTTCTCTACCAAGGTCCCATAGTTGTGCGAGGCTCATCATCATCATCCAAATCGCTTTATCTAGCTCTGAGATCACCACAATCAAATTGGATCATTGGTGGTGCTCTTCTTACAGCTAACTGTTTTGTACTCTCCCTTTGGTATATTATACAGGTATTAAATTTGGCTTATTTCTTTCAGTTTCATGTTTCTTGTGCTGGATAGAGTCTGTTCTGAGACTATTTGAATGTGGTGGGCATGCAAGTGAACCCAATTGAGCTGAGCTGAGCATCCTACTATTCGAGCTTGGCTCATTTGTTTGGTAAAAGAGTGTTTGAGTTTGACTTAAAATTATGACGAGCTGGAAATATGTTATTTAAATTCCGTTTGGCTCAACTTATCTAATTAAACAAACTAAGCTCGATTTTGTGTGCGACCCAATATTAAGAAATTAGATTTTATAATATACTGAGATAGCCCGTGCAAAATACGTTTTTTTACTGTTAGTAAAATGTAAGTGAATGGTTAAATGTTTAATACGGTTAAAATATTTATTGTTTACTGTTGATAACTTATTTATTGTGCGTAAAAGGTTAAATGTGAATATGTTGCTATATTGTAGTTAAAATATTAAAATATAAGTTGTAAGATTTAAATAATCTGGGTCGTTGTTATTCTTTATGTAAACCAGACATTGTATTATATAAATATCTTCACAAGCCTAATGATTAGACAAAACTATTATTCATGCTTGGTTTGTTTATTGAACGTGCTTTAAAAATGGAGTTCGAGCAAGATTCATTTAATAAATGAAATGAACTGGAATGAGCTTTTATTCGGGTCAATTCTTGATGAACAAGTTGGTTCATTTGGAACCCTAATATGTGGTAAGATGTTACATTTATACAAAAATCAAAAACTAATGAATCTATATTATCTTGCAGACCAAAATTGTCGAGAAGTATCCAGCGGAGCTACTTGTAGTGGCTCTCTACACCTTATGTGTGGCCATCATTACTACACCAGTGGCGTTCATTCTTGAACCAAACTTGAGTGCATGGAAAATAACTACTAAGATGATGTTGAGTGGCATTTTGTATTCTAAGGGCCCGGGAATACTATTTCAGATTGAACAGCTTTATTAGAAACTCGATTTTGTGAAATTATATTGAATATTTGACGATACATTATATATCTCGTTAAAAAACCGATCCTTCTTTTGAATAAGTTGTTTGTCATTCCTAATTATAAACCCTTATAATGTTTAGGGACTACTCGGAACATCCTTCGCTACTGTCAGTCTCACATGGGGCCTGCGCTTGAAGGGGCCTGTCTGTGTAGCGTTGTTCACGCCATTGTCAATTGTCATTACAGCGTTTATGGGTGTTATTTTCTTAGGTGATTCTCTCTAGTAGGGAATGGCAGCTTGGAATCACCATTNCAATTTGAAACAAGGGTATAGTACGGGAGGTCTAAATGTAATTTGATCTTAAAATTGGGACCCACTATTTTTAATATAAACGGAAACATGGAGTTAGCACATGGAAGGTTATGGTACTTTGGTTAGAGGGATGAAAAAAAAAAATGAGAAAATAACTTTTCTTTCTCTAAGAAAAGAAAAATTATGTCCCTTTACTTTCTTTGGTTCAATGGATGGAGAAGTTGGAGAAATGAGTATTTTATTATTTTTCAGTGTGAGAGAAGAAAATGATTAAAAATTATAATATAATACAATACCAAAAAAGCCCTTGTATAAAAAATTCATATACTACAAGTTGTCCTTTGGTCCACAATTATTATATAATAATAATAAATAGATGTTTAATCAAAGTGGTGGACCCACCATTATTTTGGGTAAGTGATCCCACCATTATCTTGCTTACCATAACATGTCATGTTTTAAGAGTGGAGTTTTGAATAGCATGTTGATCAAATTTTGGCATTAAATTTAAAATTTAAATGATATGATATCATATTATTTAAAATTTTTATTGGGGTCCAAATGATATGACACCAAATAAAGAAACCCAAGTCAGTTGCCATGTAATTTGAATATTAAATATAATCCCAAAATTTAATCAGCGTAACATTCCTCTTTGAAAAAATGCACAGTAAATTGTCGGACATATGTGCATTATCAATAGGGGGCAAAAATGTAAAATATTCAACCCATCACAATTTGTTCACTTTTCCGTCACCTTTCCATCCAAATACGGGGGATTATAATTGGTGGGCGGAGTGGATTGGTTTTCCACTCTCTTTTTCATTCTCTTTTTTTTTTTTCCTTTAAACCAAACGAAGGAAAATGACCCCCCCCTCTCTCTCTCTCTCTATATGCACCCATTTTTCACTCCTACCAAATAGCCCATTAGTCTTAATGGGATTCATCCATTTGAGTCTTCACAGGATATTAGATAGTTCTGACAAATTTGACATGAGTCTTGATGATACGCATAAGATGTGAGCTAATAGGTCAAGTATAAATTAAATAAATTTTGATAAAAATACACCTTAAAAACATGATGCAAACGACACAATGTATAGTCCAATGTGTATTTTGGCAATTGGTGGGTGTTACTAATACAAGCTAATTCCGAACACTCTCACAATACACTAGTACACAAGACAAGCTAATAACAATTGGCTCGGTTCATTTACACCCACCAAAGGGAGAAAAGAAATGGAGCCTGCACAAATAAAATATCTACTCCACAACTAGGAGAAATGAAGTACGTGGGGCAGAGATAAATGCTCATAGTGCTAGACTACTGTAACTGGTTAAAGTCACCAATAATTCAGTAGATAACATAAAAAATCTAATGGAGGAACAAACCACTATAAAAATAAGGACTTGACTATGTTGCAGCCAGAAAAATTTTGGTACCATACCTGCAAAATTTACTATTTTGAAGAATATTTTTACAATCAAAATATTTACCACTTTAATGGGTTTTTTTATCACTATTGTGGATATTTTTATTACATTTGTGATACTTATTTTTACCACGTTTCTTAAGTACAAAAAAAAATTATTACTTTTGTGCCTGATTTATTACATTTGTGGGTGTTTTTACAACATTTGTGGATGTTTTTACTACTGTTGTGATAAATATTTTTACCATTTTTTTTAGTATCACAATAGTGGTAAAATTATTCACAAATGTGGTAAAAGCTACCACAAATGTGATAAATTTTTGTATAATACCAAAAAACTTGTGAGATGTACCGTAGTCTAGTCCTAAAAATAATACCCGTATGATTGAATTTAAGGTAAATACCATAAATTTTGATCGAACAAGGGGATAATGTACCTTTTTTTTGTTAATTTCTTAAAAAAAATAAAGGTTTTTTTGAGAACTCACACATGGGACTGTCTATCTGTAACTATGCCCGCATTTGATTTGTCTTTCTTTTTGTTTTGGGGGGGTTAAAATGATGTGTTCATTTATGATAATTTGGTTATTTCTTACTTTTTTGGATCTTTTGTTCAAAACCAGAATGGAAAAACTAGCATTGAGAAGCTTAAGCAGCCAGGCTAAAATTGTGGGTGCCATCGTATCTATAGCAGGAGCACTTGTGGTGGTTCTCTACCAAGGTCCCATAGTTGTGCGAGGCTCATCATCATCATCCAAATCGCTTTATCTAGCTCTGAGATCACCACAATCAAATTGGATCATTGGTGGTGCTCTTCTTACAGCTAACTGTTTTGTACTCTCCCTTTGGTATATTATACAGGTATTAAATTTGGCTTATTTCTTTCAGTTTCATGTTTCTTGTGCCGGATAGAGTCTGTTCTGAGACTATTTGAATGTGGTGGGCATGCAAGTGAACCCAATTGAGCTGAGCTGAGCATCCTACTATTCGAGCTTGGCTCATTTGTTTGGTAAAAGAGTGTTTGAGTTTGACTTAAAATTATGACGAGCTGGAAATATGTTATTTAAATCCCGTTTGGCTCAACTTATCTAATTAAACAAACTAAGCTCGATTTTGTGTGCGACCCAATATTAAGAAATTAGATTTTATAATATACTGAGATAGCCCGTGCAAAATACGTTTTTTTACTGTGGGTAAAATGTAAGTGAATAATTAAATGTTTAATACGGTTAACATATTTATTGTTTACTGTTGATAACTTATTTATTGTGCGTAAAAGGTTAAATGTGAATATGTTGCTATATTGTAGTTAAAATATTAAAATATAAGTTGTAAGATTTAAATAATCTAGGTCGTTGTTATTCTTTATGTAAACCAGACATTGTATTATATAAATATCTTCACAAGCCTAATGATTAGACAAAACTATTATTCATGCTTGGTTTGTTTATTGAACGTGCTTTAAAAATGGAGTTCGAGCAAGATTCATTTAATAAATGAAATGAACTGGAATGAGCTTTTATTCGGGTCAATTCTTGATGAACAAGTTGGTTCATTTGGAACCCTAATATGTGGTAAGATGTTACATTTATACAAAAATCAAAAACTAATGAATCTATATTATCTTGCAGACCAAAATTGTCGAGAAGTATCCAGCGGAGCTACTTGTAGTGGCTCTCTACACCTTATGTGTGGCCATCATTACTACACCAGTGGCGTTCATTCTTGAACCAAACTTGAGTGCATGGAAAATAACTACTAAGATGATGTTGAGTGGCATTTTGTATTCTAAGGGCCCGGGAATACTATTTCAGATTGAACAGCTTTATTAGAAACTCGATTTTGTGAAATTATATTGAATATTTGACGATACATTATATATCTCGTTAAAAAACCGATCCTTCTTTTGAATAAGTTGTTTGTCATTCCTAATTATAAACCCTTATAATGTTTAGGGACTACTCGGAACATCCTTCGCTACTGTCAGTCTCACATGGGGCCTGCGCTTGAAGGGGCCTGTCTGTGTAGCGTTGTTCACGCCATTGTCAATTGTCATTACAGCGTTTATGGGTGTTATTTTCTTAGGTGATTCTCTCTAGTAGGGAATGGCAGCTTGGAATCACCATTGCCAGAAAATGCACCCTTGTTGCAATAATAGGAAAGTGTAGAAATTAAAAAAAAAAAAAAAAGAAGTGAATTGTTGTATAAAAGTACAATAACATTGTGTGTACATACATTTTTTTCCCCAAAATTGTATTATAAATGTGGCTTATATCAAAATGCAATAGGTTGAGTCACAACTCAGTTTCTACTATCTTATTTTGTGAAATTTATATTTATGAGAATAATTTATTCAAAATAATTACATGATGACGCTGTCACAAATTAATGCTCTATTTAGTATGATANAAAGTGGTGGACCCACCATTATTTTGGGTAAGTGATCCCACCATTATCTTGCTTACCATAACATGTCATGTTTTAAGAGTGGAGTTTTGAATAGCATGTTGATCAAATTTTGGCATTAAATTTAAAATTTAAATGATATGATATCATATTATTTAAAATTTTTATTGGGGTCCAAATGATATGACACCAAATAAAGAAACCCAAGTCAGTTGCCATGTAATTTGAATATTAAATATAATCCCAAAATTTAATCAGCNGAGATAAATAAAACATCACATTTGGTAAGGAAGGAAAATAAGAAAGATGGAAAAGTAGATGAATTAACTTTCCTTCTAACTCACTAAAATCAATCCCTCCAAAATCGAAAGGAAAGTGGATGAAAATTTAATTATTTGTGTTGAGGNTTATTGAGATCCAAATGACATGATACCAAATAAAAAAACTCAAGTCAGTTGTCATATCATTTGAATATTAAATATAATCCCAAAATTTAATCAGTGTAACATTCCTCTTTGAAAAAATGCACAGTAAATTGTCGGACATATGTGCATTATCAATAGGGGGCAAAAATGTAAAATATTCAACCCATCACAATTTGTTCACTTTTCCGTCACCTTTCCATCCAAATACGGGGGATTATAATTNTATATCTTTTAATATATACATATATTATGTATACATTAATTTCATATAAAAATATAACGATAAAATATGTATATATATATATTAAAATTTTAAATTAAAAAAAATATTTTTTCCATCTTAACTAGGGGTGAAAATTTTCGACTCAACACGATTACATGATTCGAACTCGACATAAATTTTATGACACGAACTTGATTATAATTCNATACGGGGGATTATAATTGGTGGGCGGAGTGGATTGGTTTTCCACTCTCTTTTTCATTCTCTTTTTTTTTTTTCCTTTAAACCAAACGAAGGAAAATGACCCCCCCCTCTCTCTCTCTCTCTATATGCACCCATTTTTCACTCCTACCAAATAGCCCATTAGTCTTAATGGGANGAAATGATCTGTCACATGAACAAGAAATATAAAAGGTTCATAATTTTATGACTCAACACGAATCTGACACGACACGACTTGATTGTCACCCATAATCTTAGTCAGGACAAAAAAAAATTAGTCATTTTTATTTTTCATCTATCTAATCAAACACAAAAGAAGGAAACTGTATCATTCATATTTTTCATCCTTAAATGATATAAAGTATATCNGATTCATCCATTTGAGTCTTCACAGGATATTAGATAGTTCTGACAAATTTGACATGAGTCTTGATGATACGCATAAGATGTGAGCTAATAGGTCAAGTATAAATTAAATAAATTTTNGATTCATCCATTTGAGTCTTCACAGGATATTAGATAGTTCTGACAAATTTGACATGAATCTTGATGATACGCATAAGATGTGAGCTAATAGGTCAAGTATAAATTAAATAAATTTTGATAAAAATACACCTTAAAAACATGATGCAAACGACACAATGTATAGTCCAATGTGTATTTTGGCAATTGGTGGGTGTTACTAATACAAGCTAATTCCGAACACTCTCACAATACACNATCCCTCCTGGGGATGGTGGTTGTCTTGTCAAACTAATTCCGGTCGAAACATTCGATATAATTTTAAGGATAATTTAAATAATAATAGAGATGAATTATAAATTCAAATGTTTTGAATTTAAATCTTGATAATTTTTCATGAATATTGTAGTCTTTATGTGTATGATTTATCTTTAACTAAATTAAAGAAGAGATTATTATTTTTTTTTTGGTCAGAAAACAAACATTCATTAATACAGAAAAANACTAGTACACAAGACAAGCTAATAACAATTGGCTCGGTTCATTTACACCCACCAAAGTGAGAAAAGAACTGGAGCCTGCACAAATAAAATATCTACTCCACAACTAGGAGAAATGAAGTACGTGGGGCAGAGATAAATGCTCAATAACGACAATGNACTAGTACACAAGACAAGCTAATAACAATTGGCTCGGTTCATTTACACCCACCAAAGGGAGAAAAGAAATGGAGCCTGCACAAATAAAATATCTACTCCACAACTAGGAGAAATGAAGTACGTGGGGCAGAGATAAATGCTCAATAACGACAATGATAGTGCTAGACTACTGTAACTGGTTAAAGTCACCAATAATTCAGTAGATAACATAAAAAATCTAATGGAGGAACAAACCACTATAAAAATAAGGACTTGACTATGTTGCAGCCAGAAAAATTTTGGTACCATACCTGCAAAATTTACTATTTTGAAGAATATTTTTACAATCAAAATATTTACCACTTTAATGGGTTTTTTTATCACTATTGTGGATATTTTTATTACATTTGTGATACTTATTTTTACCACNGGACTTGACTATGTTGCAGCCAGAAAAATTTTGGTACCATACCTGCAAAATTTACTACTTTGAAGAATATTTTTACAACTAAAATATTTACCACTTTAATGGGTCTTTTTATCACTATTGTGGATATTTTTATTACATTTGTGATACTTATTTTTACCACGTTTCTTAAGTACAAAAAAAAATTATTACTTTTGTGCCTGATTTATTACATTTGTGGGTGTTTTTACAACATTTGTGGATGTTTTTACTACTGTTGTGATAAATATTTTTACCATTTTTTTTAGTATCACAATAGTGGTAAAATTATTCACAAATGTGGTAAAAGCTACCACAAATGTGATAAATTTTTGTATAATACCAAAAAACTTGTGAGATGTACCGTAGTCTAGTCCTAAAAATAATACCCGTATGATTGAATTTAAGGTAAATACCATAAATTTTGATCGAACAAGGGGATAATGTACCTTTTTTTTGTTAATTTCTTAAAAAAAATAAAGGTTTTTTTGAGAACTCACACATGGGACTGTCTATCTGTAACTATGCCCGCATTTGATTTGTCTTTCTTTTTGTTTTGGGGGGGTTAAAATGATGTGTTCATTTATGATAATTTGGTTATTTCTTACTTTTTTGGATCTTTTGTTCAAAACCAGAATGGAAAAACTAGCATTGAGAAGCTTAAGCAGCCAGGCTAAAATTGTGGGTGCCATCGTATCTATAGCAGGAGCACTTGTGGTGGTTCTCTACCAAGGTCCCATAGTTGTGCGAGGCTCATCATCATCATCCAAATCGCTTTATCTAGCTCTGAGATCACCACAATCAAATTGGATCATTGGTGGTGCTCTTCTTACAGCTAACTGTTTTGTACTCTCCCTTTGGTATATTATACAGGTATTAAATTTGGCTTATTTCTTTCAGTTTCATGTTTCTTGTGCCGGATAGAGTCTGTTCTGAGACTATTTGAATGTGGTGGGCATGCAAGTGAACCCAATTGAGCTGAGCTGAGCATCCTACTATTCGAGCTTGGCTCATTTGTTTGGTAAAAGAGTGTTTGAGTTTGACTTAAAATTATGACGAGCTGGAAATATGTTATTTAAATCCCGTTTGGCTCAACTTATCTAATTAAACAAACTAAGCTCGATTTTGTGTGCGACCCAATATTAAGAAATTAGATTTTATAATATACTGAGATAGCCCGTGCAAAATACGTTTTTTTACTGTGGGTAAAATGTAAGTGAATAATTAAATGTTTAATACGGTTAACATATTTATTGTTTACTGTTGATAACTTATTTATTGTGTGTAAAAGGTTAAATGTGAATATGTTGCTATATTGTAGTTAAAATATTAAAATATAAGTTGTAAGATTTAAATAATCTGNATGTTTTTACTACTGTTGTGATAAATATTTTTACCATTTTTTTTAGTATCACAATAGTGGTAAAATTATTCACAAATGTGGTAAAAGCTACCACAAATGTGATAAATTTTTGTATAATACCAAAAAACTTGTGAGATGTACCGTAGTCTAGTCCTAAAAATAATACNTTTACCATTTTTTTTAGTATCACAACAGTGGTAAAATTATTCACAAATGTGGTAAAAACTACCACAAATGTGATAAATTTTTGTATAATACCAAAAAACTTGTGAGATGTACCGTAGTCTAGTCCTAAAAATAATACCCGTATGATTGAATTTAAGGTAAATACCATAAATTTTGATCGAACAAGGGGATAATGTACCTTTTTTTTGTTAATTTCTTAAAAAAAATAAAGGTTTTTTTGAGAACTCACACATGGGACTGTCTATCTGTAACTATGCCCGCATTTGATTTGTCTTTCTTTTTGTTTTGGGGGGGTTAAAATGATGTGTTCATTTATGATAATTTGGTTATTTCTTACTTTTTTGGATCTTTTGTTCAAAACCAGAATGGAAAAACTAGCATTGAGAAGCTTAAGCAGCCAGGCTAAAATTGTGGGTGCCATCGTATCTATAGCAGGAGCACTTGTGGTGGTTCTCTACCAAGGTCCCATAGTTGTGCGAGGCTCATCATCATCATCCAAATCGCTTTATCTAGCTCTGAGATCACCACAATCAAATTGGATCATTGGTGGTGCTCTTCTTACAGCTAACTGTTTTGTACTCTCCCTTTGGTATATTATACAGGTATTAAATTTGGCTTATTTCTTTCAGTTTCATGTTTCTTGTGCTGGATAGAGTCTGTTCTGAGACTATTTGAATGTGGTGGGCATGCAAGTGAACCCAATTGAGCTGAGCTGAGCATCCTACTATTCGAGCTTGGCTCATTTGTTTGGTAAAAGAGTGTTTGAGTTTGACTTAAAATTATGACGAGCTGGAAATATGTTATTTAAATTCCGTTTGGCTCAACTTATCTAATTAAACAAACTAAGCTCGATTTTGTGTGCGACCCAATATTAAGAAATTAGATTTTATAATATACTGAGATAGCCCGTGCAAAATACGTTTTTTTACTGTTAGTAAAATGTAAGTGAATGGTTAAATGTTTAATACGGTTAAAATATTTATTGTTTACTGTTGATAACTTATTTATTGTGCGTAAAAGGTTAAATGTGAATATGTTGCTATATTGTAGTTAAAATATTAAAATATAAGTTGTAAGATTTAAATAATCTGGGTCGTTGTTATTCTTTATGTAAACCAGACATTGTATTATATAAATATCTTCACAAGCCTAATGATTAGACAAAACTATTATTCATGCTTGGTTTGTTTATTGAACGTGCTTTAAAAATGGAGTTCGAGCAAGATTCATTTAATAAATGAAATGAACTGGAATGAGCTTTTATTCGGGTCAATTCTTGATGAACAAGTTGGTTCATTTGGAACCCTAATATGTGGTAAGATGTTACATTTATACAAAAATCAAAAACTAATGAATCTATATTATCTTGCAGACCAAAATTGTCGAGAAGTATCCAGCGGAGCTACTTGTAGTGGCTCTCTACACCTTATGTGTGGCCATCATTACTACACCAGTGGCGTTCATTCTTGAACCAAACTTGAGTGCATGGAAAATAACTACTAAGATGATGTTGAGTGGCATTTTGTATTCTAAGGGCCCGGGAATACTATTTCAGATTGAACAGCTTTATTAGAAACTCGATTTTGTGAAATTATATTGAATATTTGACGATACATTATATATCTCGTTAAAAAACCGATCCTTCTTTTGAATAAGTTGTTTGTCATTCCTAATTATAAACCCTTATAATGTTTAGGGACTACTCGGAACATCCTTCGCTACTGTCAGTCTCACATGGGGCCTGCGCTTGAAGGGGCCTGTCTGTGTAGCGTTGTTCACGCCATTGTCAATTGTCATTACAGCGTTTATGGGTGTTATTTTCTTAGGTGATTCTCTCTAGTAGGGAATGGCAGCTTGGAATCACCATTGCCAGAAAATGCACCCTTGTTGCAATAATAGGAAAGTGTAGAAATTAAAAAAAAAAAAAAAAGAAGTGAATTGTTGTATAAAAGTACAATAACATTGTGTGTACATACATTTTTTTCCCCAAAATTGTATTATAAATGTGGCTTATATCAAAATGCAATAGGTTGAGTCACAACTCAGTTTCTACTATCTTATTTTGTGAAATTTATATTTATGAGAATAATTTATTCAAAATAATTACATGATGACGCTGTCACAAATTAATGCTCTATTTAGTATGATAAAAAAATTGAAGGATGAAAATTTGGAGAGATAAATAAAACATCACATTTGGTAAGGAAGGAAAATAAGAAAGATGGAAAAGTAGATGAATTAACTTTCCTTCTAACTCACTAAAATCAATCCCTCCAAAATCGAAAGGAAAGTGGATGAAAATTTAATTATTTGTGTTGAGGTGTATCTTATTTGTCTATATATCTTTTAATATATACATATATTATGTATACATTAATTTCATATAAAAATATAACGATAAAATATGTATATATATATATTAAAATTTTAAATTAAAAAAAATATTTTTTCCATCTTAACTAGGGGTGAAAATTTTCGACTCAACACGATTACATGATTCGAACTCGACATAAATTTTATGACACGAACTTGATTATAATTCAACAGGAACTTGAAATGATCTGTCACATGAACAAGAAATATAAAAGGTTCATAATTTTATGACTCAACACGAATCTGACACGACACGACTTGATTGTCACCCATAATCTTAGTCAGGACAAAAAAAAATTAGTCATTTTTATTTTTCATCTATCTAATCAAACACAAAAGAAGGAAACTGTATCATTCATATTTTTCATCCTTAAATGATATAAAGTATATCCCTCATATTTTTCATCTTTCCTACTTTTTATCATTCCTACCAATTAGTTTGAATTTTATTACGCAAACTAATTTTTATAATATTACTTGTGTTAAAGTTAATTTTGGTAAGTTTTGTATAACTGTTGTCCTAGTTAATAAAATTATTAAATATATTATTATTTGACCCATTTGATCTAGAATCCTAGTTCTATCCCTCCTGGGGATGGTGGTTGTCTTGTCAAACTAATTCCGGTCGAAACATTCGATATAATTTTAAGGATAATTTAAATAATAATAGAGATGAATTATAAATTCAAATGTTTTGAATTTAAATCTTGATAATTTTTCATGAATATTGTAGTCTTTATGTGTATGATTTATCTTTAACTAAATTAAAGAAGAGATTATTATTTTTTTTTTGGTCAGAAAACAAACATTCATTAATACAGAAAAAAGTCCAGCTACAAACCACAAACAACTTATCCAACCCCATCTCTTTCCTCATTCCTAATTACAGTCCTTATACATACTGGGATAGCAATAAGCCAATTGGAATGAAGTCTGCCCCCTCTAGCTAATGATGCTATTGTGTGGGCAAGCACATTTTGGCTCCTCCTTAGTGCCTGGAAGGTAAACTGGGGTATCTGCCTTGCATAAACCACCCATATATCATGCACAACTGTAGCAATATCCCATAAAGCATCTTCATTACCTTTACTCAACGTGTCCATAAGAGCCTTAGAATCAGACTCTATGATAACTTGTTGGTAACCATGTTCCAAAGCCAAGCTGCAAGCTCTCCTTACTGCACATGCTTCAACAACAAGAGTAGATTTAGCCGTGAAGGTCCGAGCATCCCCAGTAATAAATGAGCCCTTATCATCTCTGATAGCTACCCCATATGCCGCTTGCTCTATCTTCTCCAGCCATGCTCCATCACAGTTGATTTTCATCCATTCCTTAGGCGGACATTGCCAGGGGAAAGCCACCTCCACTGTCTCATCTTTGAGTAATTGTTTATCTTTGCTGTATAGAAACTCCTCGGTATCCACAAGAGCTCTATGAATGACAGTGTTATGCTGAGGTAAATGATGGTTATAAAACCATTCATTTCTTGATTTCCAAATAAACCAACACATAAATGCAATCATTTGAGATTAATTGAGTTACTTAACCACATACCCCTAATTGGTTAATAAAAAAAAAAAAGGTAAAAGGAACACTCGTTGTCTGACATTGGTTTTGGTCACAACTAGGCCCACCCGGGGGGGAGAAGACACCAAGGTTGAACAAAAGTTTTTGGCCCTACTAACTCTAATTCAACTTATTGTAGTTTTTTTTTTTCTTCTTTCCAAGAAAAGTTATTCTGCCTGATAGTTTTACCAAAATTTGGTTACCAACTGAAGTGGAGTTCACGTATTAGCAGTCCTGAGACTAAGAAAAGATCATTTATAAACCCCCCTCCCCAAAAAAAAAAATTCAAATTTTACCAAAAAGTTTCATCCTCTTCCTCTTTCGCCTTTCCTTCTTAAAACCTACTTTCTATTCTTGTATTTCAAGCTAGATATCGAGTATTAGGACTTGTCTTCAAGCTACTGTAACAAATAAATGGTTCCTCTTAATTTTTAATAAATTTGGTAAAAGTTTTGATATTTCATTTGGTGAGCCTACCAAACCCCCCATCCCCGTCCCCATCCCCCTCCCCATCCCCATCCCCAAGGGTGACGCCATAGAAAGTGAAATGCCTAAAAACATAAAAAGTGTCCGCAACATTATTGAAAACACATAAAAGCAATTGTGATTTTGAGTTCATACGTTCAAAGGTGAGCAGTAACCAACCACTTGACTTGATTGTGCTTCTACCTCTATTATGGGACCACATACTTGGGGGTTTTCTTTAGGATATGACGGCCACGAAATCGACTAGATTGGACTGCGGTGAAGCCCAATGAGTGTGTATGTATGTGAGAGTGTGAGCGTATATGTTATACGTATGATGCAAAGAGAAGATAACGTTATCACATTGATTTTTTTAACCAAAAGGCTAAGATTATTTCTACCGTAAGGGAGACTCTCATTTTTTGAGAAAAGTATTATTTGGGAGAAAAAATTGTTGTTATGGGGTATTTGACTTGAAGTCTTTTATATGATATTGCCTAGCTTTTACTTGGTAGTTTGTTGAATGGCCCTCCTTGTGCACCGTAGAGCATTGTTAGTTATTTATATAACTGGTAGTTAGGATTTTGTTGACCCCTTTTAGTTAATTTTGTAGTCCTTTATGTGTTTATCTTTGTCTTAGAGCTATGGTCCCTAACGTTTTTTTGCTTCTACTATTTACCGATTGCAGTATTTGATCCGTCTCTATTGCCTGTGGGGGTTTTGTTCATCAGAACCGTTAAGTAATGTTCTTTTGTCTCCTATCCACATGTTATGCTGCAGGTTTTGCAAATTGGCCCTATGTCATGCTCCCATATCCCGATCAAGCAATTGTACCGAGCTTGTTAACATCAAGTCTCTCTAGAATTGGGTCGCAACCCAATTCGAGCCCAATAAATATTGTCTGGATGAGTGTTACTTAGGTCGCTTTCTAAAAGTCCAGAAGATCTTGGGCTCTGAAGAGGTTCAGACCTAAACTCATCATCACCACGTTACTTTTTTATTGAAAAAATAATTAAAGAATATTTTTTTTTATTTTCGACCAGTGAATATCTAAAACTTAAATTTATTTTTAATCTTAAAAATTTAGGAGTGTTTTTTTAAAAAAAGATAAAATTTATTTATCTGAACCGAAACTTGTAATTTAAAAAAAAATCAATTAAGATATTTTGTTTATGGGAAAGTCTATGGTACCGCCTTTGATAATGTGCTGAAGGTTATTACTTTTATGGTAAAATTACAACTTAAAATAGAGAAATTATAACTCTTCAAAGAAAGTCTATGATCGATCAAGGGTATATGAACGATCACAAATACACATGATCGATCATGAACTTCTTCTGAACAGTTGTAACTTCTTCCTTTTAAATTGTAACTTGACTTTTAAAATTTATAATTTAAACATCAAAAAAATAAGTGACACCTAAAAAAAATTATAATTTAACGTGAAATTGTTATAATTTCTTTTTTGTAAAATATCTCTTTCGGTACCGTAATCTTATCCTTTGTTTATTTAGAAATGGAAGAGGAGTCAAATCAGCTTCTGGGACATAGACAAAGATTAAACCACGTAGGGGATCATTTTCTCAAGGATTGTCCAGTCACCAGTCACCAACAGCAGTGCCGTGCCAGTTGCAAACTTTCCTTTGTTTTAAACAAACACCAATATTATATGGTATATAAAGGTAAATTATATTGACACCCCTTGTTGTTTTTGACACTTTCACTGCACCCCAGTTATTTATGAAATTGCACTGACGTCCATTATGAATTTGTGATGTGACATATTGTAATAGATGCCCCCCTCAAGCAACCGATTGTCACTTTGTTGATGATATAAGCAAACTTTTTGACCCAAACTTTTTACTTTACACTTGAGCTAAAAAATTTTATATTTTCATAATAAGCTTTTTGTCCTCTCAAGTTAGGCAACTTTGAAACATTAACTCTAATCCTCTTAAAGCTCTCTTCTTTAACATAATGTTTGTTGATGTTAACAAATTCAAAAATAAAAAATAGTTCAATATTTTTAGAAAATCAACAAATGCGATCTTCTTTAGGTGAGGTTCAATGTTTAAAAAAATTAGTTCTAATGGTGGGTCCATGTTATTGAAATTTAATTTCATGTTTTGGTATAAAAGAATTTGTACTATTGTGGTTCGTTTAAACCTGGAAGACTTTAATATGATTGCATTTAATATGTCAAAGTTTTCTAACTTGAGATGGCAAAAATCTTAGAGTAAAAATAGACATTTTTTAACTAGAGAATAAGATAGAAAGTTTAGGTCAAAACGTTTACTTACATCATCNTGTGTGAATTTTTGTGTATTATATGTGCATACTTTAGTTTGAAAAAAAAAAAAAAAAGAAGACCTCCCAACAGGTGGGACTTGCACCACGGTGATTTACCCCATCCAAAAATATATAAAGTATTTTACG